CATTACAGCTGGCTCAAATGTCAACTGGGACTCAGGGATGAACTGATTAGAATTTGCTGGTCAAAGATCAATGTGACTTCACAAAACACATTTGAGGCCATAACTCAAGAATTCATAACGATGTTATGACACTTTCTACCCAATAGGTCAAAGGTGGTGTGATTTCATAATGTCCTGGAACGCACTTTTCTGCTCATTCGGCACCAAAACTCGGGAACAGAAGATTTAATCAGATTTGGTGACACTAATCTTGGGTATCCACCTCGAAACTGTGGTGGTTGGATCGATCTTGTGTTTTGGTGGATTGAAGATGTGTGTGTAGCATTTTAGAATTTGTAGCTTATTTGCAGCAAAGTGTGTGTTCAAAACATCATCCGCTGTCATGGCTCCAACTTCAGCTTCATTGGCCGTAATTATACGAACACATAAAAGGAGTTAAGCTCAGTTTTTTTGTTTGTCTAAATGAATTTACACACTTGTCTTCACCACATGTGAGTCTAAACTGCCCTGGTTGGTGGAGGCACACAACCACGAGGCAGTACCTCTAGTCCCTCTCCAGTACTTCAGCTGTCCTTGTAAGCACAGCAGTAAAATTTCAGAGGCTGTTTTAATCTAAGATGTGTTGACAGAACGCTTCATCAAGTCCTCATTTATGTATATGAACTTAGCTACAATTTACGATGTTAAGACAAACACAGACTAAGCCATTAAAAGTGTTCATCATTCAAATTAGTGTTTGATTAAAACTCCAAGCAGTTTTGGAGCTTTGTTTTCCTCACAGAAAAATGTAAAAACCTCGACTCAGCATGGACAAAATTTTTCCAAGTTTGCCCAGTTGTTACCAATTCTGACAAAACATTTGACTCCATAGATAGGGCTGCAAGTTGGTAGCACTGTTGCTTCGCAGCTAGAAGGTCGTCGGTTTGCGTCCCGGTGAGGACACCCGGGATCTTTCTGTGTGGAGTTTGCATGTTCTCCCCGTGCAGTGTGGGTTCTCTCCGGGTTCTCCGGCTTCCTCCCACAAACAAGGTCCAGAAACATGTTGAGGTTAATTGGTGATTCTAAATTGTCCGTAGGTGTGAATGTGAGTGTGCTTGGTTGTCTGTCTCTAAGTGTAGCCCTGTGATAGACTGGTGACCTGTCCAGGGTGTCTCCTGCCTTCACCCTGAGTCAGCTGGGATAGACTCCAGCCCCCCCGCGACCCTAGTGAGGGTAAAGTGGTGTATAGATAATGAATGGATGAATGGATGGATACCATAGATATTTTTCACTAGTTGACTAATTTTAGTAGTCTTCCATCTGCTCTGTGTAAAAACAAGAGAAAAATAAGAGAAAAGTCCCTGAATTTTCATGGCGTGTCTGTTGGTTGTAGCTGAGTCACTAATGGCTTTGAGGTTGTGCGAAGGAGCTCCGATATTTTTTTTTTCTTACAGAATCTGAGCAGTGCCAGCAGTTTATTTTGTAGTGATGTTGATAAATTATCACCATTTTAAGCTTTGGTTAAGTTTTCCAACGACAAAGGACAGTCGGAAGATTAAAAATACAACAATTCTTTCTGCTTTTAGAGTTTCTGTCTCTGGTAAATGGTGCAATTTTGAGTATACAACCCGCCGGAAGGTTTTGGGTTCACGGGGTTAAAGCACCGCCGTAAAGTTTGTCAAAAGGACGCTGATTATTTTGCCACCACCGATGGACGTAGCGCGACATGACTGCAGTTCACCTTTTACATATAACAATGCCGCGTTAACTAAACATAGTTTTGCATGGTAGTGACACTTTTTGTTCCATTGTGGGAATTTTCATACTTAAAATTCAGGCAACTCGCACAAAGAATTATGACAATGTTCACCAGATTAGCGGCGCTTTGGTTGTTTTCAGTGCGGCTGACATCAGAGGTCACCGCATACATACGGCGCATAATGATTCATTTAAGCCCCTTTTCACCCAAATGTGGCGAGAAAAGTGTCCTTAATGTCCAATTGTAAGCAGTTGAAACAGATTTTTTACTAATTTCCGTAGTACAAAGCCCATAATCTTTTCAATTCAAAAGCAATAATGAAAAGCCATAAAATTATTCTTCAAAGTAATAAAGTGCTCTTTCCTTCTCTTTTTAAGGTTGTAAAGAGCAGAACGAGCCATTCTGATGCCCTGCAGTGAATTATTGAACACACACATGTACACACATCCCCAAACACTCACGCACACACACACACACACACACACTCACACACACACACACTGCAGAGAACTACAGCCTGTGAAATTACCCAATCAGAAGGTCTTGTCAGTTCTCAGACATTAGTCATCACACATAGGCCAAGTGAGGTGATACGCGCACACACACACACACACACACACACACGCACACACACACTCGCACACACACATACACAGAAAAAGACAGAGGGGATTGAAAATTTCATAAAGCTCCATTAAAGTTAATGACACACCAAGTCCAAAATAATGTGTTAGAGGAAAAGGTGTGTGTGTGTGTAGGTGTAGGTGTGTGTGTGTGTGTGTGTGTGTGTGTGTGTGTTGTACTTATCACCCAAGGCTATTTGAGTGAGTTGTCAGGAGGTGTTAGGAATATTACAGCCTCCGTGTTTACTCTCAGCTTTTCATTTTCTTGTGAAAATATAGATTTATTGAATATTAACCAGAAGCCGTGTTAACAACAGCCAGCTTGACTTCGCTGTAAAACAAGCTGTGATTCTCATCTTGAGCGCCTCACACTTCACACGTACCTACGGTCTGACCACGCACACGCACACACACACACACACACAACAAGGACATGCAGCCTACATGGAAACGTATCCAACACACACCCCCGCAGGGTGAAATAAAGATGAGCCAACAAGCCATTAAGACTACATGCAGCTACAGACAAGAGGGAATGTGGAACAGTGAAATTGCTGCGCTGTAAAGTTTTCCATCCCACAGTAGATGAACAGTGTAATCTTGATGCAATGCTACATTTTTTTTTTTTTTTTTTGCCTAAAAAAAAATGCTGATAGACCGTGGTGGTGAAATCTCTGTGTGCTGAGGTAAATTAGTCCTCCTGGACCTCTCTCTCTCTGCTTAACCCTTTTGAGACTAATCGGCACACTTTGAATTCACACCCCTTGTTCTCGGTTGAATTGCTGCCGAGGCATTTATGGCGCGCGGCAAATGAAACAACACAGCTTCACCTTTCCGGCAACGCGAGCCGCTTCTCTGTGCGACAAAGTGTGAGCGAGAAAAACGCTTTTAAATTCAGATTTAATGCACACAGCTGTGCATTAATCTCTTATTTATAATACTCATTAGCTCGTCATTACATACATATGTTGATATCTAGATATGTTCATATGTATGCAACGCAATCATTGCGTACACATCAACATACCGAGGCAATTATATGTTTAACACGTCCTGTCACAAGAAAGAATGGAAGTGGAGCTTTGTAATTATGCTCGTTACATATTGCTAATTAACAAGGTTATGAAGACTGATTACTTTCCTCCTAAGTTATGTCTTTACTAATTTCTTCACTCATTTTCACTCTCTTCTCGCTTGAATAAGTCATAAAGTCCCTATCTCTTCACAGTTTGTCGCTCATGAATAGAAAAACATGAAAACTTACTTTCCAGTGAAACTATTTGTTTGCCAAAAGTCACCCTGTTTGGAAATTACAGCAAAATTTACGTTTGTCTGGTTTGTTCGCTCTAGTGACAAGTTAAATAATGACACGTTATTTTTTCTTAATTTCCGAGTCATCGAGTAAACAATTCCCAACAATCTCCACTGCAAAATTATGAAAATAGAACTCTACAGCCATCCATCCATCATCTATACACCGCTTAATCCTCATTAGGGTCATGGGGGGCTGGAG